AGAGAGAGAGAGAGAGAGAGAGAGAGAGAGAGGGGGAGGGAGACATTGTGATCAACTGACGGGATGACGGATAGAATGACAGTGAGAAAAAAATAAGTTCTGTGTGTGATACGGACTGTTCAATTATGTAAGAGTTTTATATTACATAGCTTGTTTTAAAATTTAGAAGATCGGCAAAATAAGAAGAAAACTCCAAGTAACATAAATTAATGATCAAACATACCAAATTATAAAGATAATCTTTCAAGACGCTAAAAGGTTTAATTATAATAAGAAATGGTGAAAATGTATTTTTTAACAGAATTTAAGATATATGACTGCATGATTCTAGGCGTGTGCCATAACTAGCTTTATGTGTTAGGAACAGCGAACACAAAAGAGGGTCGATGCCAGCTTTATCTGATTGCTAACAGTATTATGTCTGGTCTATAAATTATAAAAGGCCTATTATTGATTACAACAATTTTGTTTCCTGTTTTTCACAAAGTGGAGCGCACAACAATTTCAAATTAAAAAAAAGAGAGACAACAGCACCTTTGGATTTTTCGAATGACATCAAAACTTACCATTGTTGATGCAGGAATAGCACAGTCTTTGTTAGCTTGTGTCATTGCGTTCCTCTGTCCTTATGAATGAAGCGATCGCTCAGCAGCCATTCATGGAGATTGGCGACAATGTTGACATACATGCATTCTTGATAATTTGATGGACATGGGTATGAGGCAGCCTTGTTAGCCCTACCTAACGAATCATGCTTTGGCAGTAAGCTCAGGCGGTACGCTCTTATTGCGAGTTCGATGTTCGGCAAAATCAAAGGAGTCGACGAGGAGTTCACACCTGGGCGTGATCCCTTTGTCGTAAAATAAATCCTTGCGTCTGGAGCAAACTTGTACCTCGCATCGAGATTTAGAGCGGAGATGTGATCCAATGCATGAGCGTGGATGATCTTAAAAGGTTGTTTGTTTGTTTTTGTTCAGTAAAGTACGATAGGAAAAGTAGCGTTTTTAGTCCCTTCACACTTCAGAGGGGGGTAATTTATCTTAGGAATGACTTGTGTAGTAAACCTAGACTCTAGGTTTTGTCCCGTCAAAATAAAGGGCTGCTGCGCATCCATAGATGTGCGCATCTAATTTGCACACACACTGGAAAGCAATATATATATATATATACTTTGATTAAAATATATAATATGTATATCTATACATACACACACACAAACACACACACAAACATACACACAAACACACACACACACACACACACACACACACACACACACACACACACACACAAGAATAAGATTTTTTTTTTAAAATCAAGTGTCTCTCGGTCTTTCTGCTGGGGTTGGCCTTTGCATGTAGCGCAGGAGCCAGCCTCTTATAAATGTTAATGATCTAAACTGTGTCGCTGGGGGTATACAAACACTTTCTTTCAGATTTTAAAAAAAAAAAAGGAAAACAACACTTGTGAAAACTTCTGTCCACTGCAGCATCATATCGGTTCTTACACTTACACACAACTCAGGTGGAAGGCATTTTTACTAACTGACTACAAAGACCTCGGAATAAAACCTTCTTTCTTAATAACTAGATTTCAGTGCGCGAGTCCGGCAGCGCAGCACAGGTAGACCCATAGTTCTGTTGCGAGACAGGGCTCCTATCAGGCGTGCAGTGCCGCCAAGGAGTTTACAGTATAGTTCTAAACGTTCTAAACTCATTGGGTGCCGCCCACAGCTGAGCATCACCCAACACCCATTACTTTTAATCTCCTTGTTGTAACACTAAGTAGTCAAGCTACAAAGGGATATGCAGGCTACGCAAAAGATATGATAACAAAATGATTATTTATTAGATACAACTGTATACATGTACTAGATCTACGTTTGCTGACCTTGTCGTTGCAGTTGTTGCTGCATATGGTAGTACCCAGAGCTGGTAGTAACGGAGTACAAGTACTCCGGTACTTGTACTTACGTTACAATTTTCGGTACTTTTACTGTACTCCGGTACATTTTTTAAACCAGTACTTTTACTGTACTCCGATACTTTTTATAAAAGTACTTTTGAGTACTTTTAAAGTACATTTTGAGTACTTTGGTAGCTTAATGAAAGGGTAAGCAGGCATTTCTGATCATAATTTACGGAACAAAAACCCGATCAACCGCCAAGAGTTAAAAGTTGAGATCAAAGAACGGCCCGTCGCCTCAAAGATCAGCCACTATCGTGAATGTGATCACAAGTGTTGTAAAACTCCATGAAACGGTACAGTGTTTGCTCCAGACGGGATCACACTGAGGTGTGAACTGACCGATGCGTTTCTTTTCCCCAAACATCGCACTCGCATCTGACCTCACCACCTAAACTTACATCACTCCCTGGGTGGGTAGGGCCTATAAGTTCGCTCCAGGCGGGATCACATCAAACTGTGAACTCTTCCCTGACCATTGAAAGCAGTTTTTCCCGAATTTGCGAGACAACCTGAATTTTAATTAGTGCGCTCACATCGTAATGGTGCGTAACGACAAAGGAGGTGGGGGGGGGGGGGGGACTCAATCAGAGATGGAAAGCTAAAATTGTTGGACAGGTAAAGGGGAGGGGCAACTGGATAAACGTAGATAAAGATCTCAAGACTCAGGATAGGCTAATGAGTGTGTATATATAATATTATTTATGGCATGCCTCATGCCACTGTGATTTGTAATCAAGGTTGACCACTCTTTGCTTGCCATATGTCATAAATCCACCCAGGGGTCACATCAGTTCATGGATCACTGTAGATTCTTCCTTGGCTTCATTGGCTAAGATCCTAGGCTTTCTCAGTTTCATTGGCTAAGATCCCATATTTTCCTTGCTTCCGAGCACTGGGATCTTAGGCGGAGACTACTGCAGTAGAGAATCTTTGGTTACACTACACTCACTAGACTCTAGGAAACTATTGTATTTTGGTTTGCAGTTGGCGCCGTGGACTACACAGTGTGACCAAAATCTGTCAGACCACTATAATCAATTGAAACTGAAACTGTGTTCTCAATGTGTATCTAACAATTTTTAGGCTGCCTAAATTTCTTTTAAACTTTTTTTGGGTGGTTTTTGCTTAAGGCTACATTGATTCCTTGAGGATTTGTTAATGAAGAATTCAATGCGCTTTTCCATTTCTATGCGGGCCATTTTCATCAATTTTATGTTTTCTTAAGAGCAACTTTGTATCTACATTTTTCAATTTGGATACTCTTTCTGTGGAACTTTCCAACCTCTAGGACTGACTTACATTTGATCACATTGTCTTGCTCAAACAAGTTCTATTCATAATAGCACTTACCCACTAGTTGCGTCTGTTCGTTTGGGTTGTTTTTTGTTCAATTTCACCGACCATTTCCACCGTTCAGTGCGTACATTGTATATTCAAATGCTTTGTATACTGTTTACATTTTTAGTAATAAATAGCGTAATTTGTCAAATATACTGGATAAGTTATAAAATATGATATTTTGCATAAGCGCTGAAGTGTTTTAGCATATTAGCAGAAAGTACTCAAAATGTACTCGTAAGTACTTTTTTAAAAAAGTACTTGTACTCAAGTACATTTTATAGGAAAGTACTTTTACTGTACTTAAGTACATTTTTTAGATTGTACTTAAATTTGTACTTAAGTACTTTTTAAAAAGGACTTTAACAGCTCTGGTAGTACCAATTCACATTATGTACATGTTAGGTATTTACCTTTGGAATTAGAGGATTTTGGTTTCGCACTGAAGAATGATGGAACGATTTCGTTTCCATGTGAAAGTAGATATTTTGAAAGTAAACTGTCAGTTTATGTGGGGGCACATTCAATTTTTTAAATTTTGTAATGAATAAAAATTTGAAAAGTCTGGGCCATCAATACAGCGAATAAAAATAAAAACGAAGTACTTTCAACGTTGTTTATCATTAACTGCTAGACTGTCAACTGTCAATTAATTATCTGCCATATTTTTATAACCCAAAATGTGAGAAAGAAAGCATGATAGGTCTACCATGTTGACATGTTGAGGTTGGGTGATTTGTTATAAGACCACATTTTAATTGTTTGTCATTATGTCATCCCGGATTATAATCAAGAGTCTACCAAGAGACGTAAGTGTCCTCTTATTTTAAGAATATTATTTTGAAAGAAATATGAATGTCGAGGAGAGCTGGGCGAGAGCTTTTATCGATAATCTCAAAAGTTTGCCTGGCCTTACTCAGAAGTAGATTAGATCTGTTTCATTCAATCTAATCTAGACTAGATACTAGATTAGATATCTAATCTAGATCTAGATTTCTAGATCTAGATGTAGATTAGACGTAGAATCTAGATATCTAGATCTAGATCTATGTCTTTCACGTTCAGTTATTGGGTTTGGGCTTTGGGGTTTTGCATGGCATGTGGTATTGACTTGACTAGATCTAGACTAGATCTATTATTGTTGTGTCTTTTTTACACGATTCCAACTTGCAAACTGGGGGGGGGGGGGGGGGGGGGGGGTGGAAAAAAGGTTTTTTTGTAAGGCCTAATGTGCTCATAGCATGTATAAAAGGCCTTGTGAATAAATGTTAAGTTGGTGATCTTGTAGTTCTGTTCATTCAAGTCCACGGTCCATTTGTTGGCGCTTTTTCGGTAGTTCCCACTCCGCAAAATTTTATTCACGGGTTTGGGCCACAAGAGTAGGGGGGTTTCAGGGGGCTGACCTAATAAAAATAGGAAGGGGGGTTTCAGGGGGGCATGCCCCCCTGAATTTTACAATAATTTAATGTTTTGCAGTTGTTAGGTTTGATATCTTAGCTCACCGCGAATCAAACATCATATAGTCATATAGATCTAGATCTAGATCTAGATGTAGGTCAGGCTCAAATAAGGGGGGTGGGAACTACCGAAAAAGCACCCATTTGTTTACATCAAGAACAGGGATGCAATCTAACTGCAAAGCATCTAATTATGGAGAGACATATCACATATTCCCCCTCCCTTCCATATTTTTATGGCCTTCGTATTTTTATTAGGTCTGGGAGGCAAGCCCCCCTGAAATCCTCCTACTCTTGACTTTAACAAACGAAATTTTGAGGAGGTAAATTTATGGAACAAGAATTGCTGAGATTGTAGATCTAAAAGATTATAACATGAATAAAAAAAGACGGCGAGATCTAGTCAACAGTTACTGGCGAGGGAAACCCAAGAGTCTTGGGGGAAGCCCTGGAAGACGACAAAAATAGATGGCAGAAGTACATCATCTATATTTGGGCCAATCACCGAGGTGTGCTAGGTGCTCGCTGTAGCTTCATGTGTTTACAACTCGACGTCCTACTGAAGTTGTAAACTAGTTATATTGGTGACCCCGACAGGAAAAGTGCCCTTTTAAGGGTGTGAGAATCGTCGTTTAAGTTTAATGAGTTTATTTTTTTTGCAGTAGAGCCGTTGGTTTTCTGTCCCCCGATCCATTTAGATTTAAAAGTTCATTGTCTTTTTTGCGCCTCTGTGTTTTTCCAAAGGGAGTGAATACAGACCCGGTAACCGGGAACAAAGTCACGAAATATACAGACCCGGTAGGGGAAATCTTTTGTGATTTCGGAAAGTTTCAGCGCCCTCTTGGCTCAGTGTAGACTTATGTTCTTCTAGATCTATGGCCTAGGTCTAGATCTAGACAGACAGGTAATCTAAAATCAAGTTTCAATGCCTTGATCTGAATGAAGATTGCGGATATCTTTTAGATGATGAACAATCGTTTTTCCTCCGTTGTGGAGTTGTAGGAGTCAATAAGACAAAATTTGAAGAAAAGAACTACCCTCTCTATTTCTGTCTCTCTCACCCCTTTCTCTCTCTCTCTCTCTCTCTCTCTCTCTCTCTCTCTCTCTCTCTCTCTCTTCTGTGTATCGCTCGCCTTCTCTTTGTTTGTCTGTCATTCTTTGTCCCCCACCTACTTTCACTCTCTATCTTTGTCTCATTCCCACCTGTCAGCTAGGTGATATTTACTAGCACTTCCCCCGTTCTCTACCCTCTCTCTCTCTCCCTCTCCCTCTCCCTCTCTCTCTCTCTCTCTCCCTCTCTCTCTCTCCCTCTCTCCCTCTCTCCCTTTCTTTCTCACACATGCACACACATACACACACGCTCTGCCGGGTCTGGGCGCTGAAACTTTGCGAAATCACAAAAGATTTCCCCTGCCGGGTCTGTATACTTCGTGACTTTGTTCCTGGTTACCAGGTCTGTATACACTTCGTTTTCCAAAAGCTTTGGTGAGCGATTTTATAATAGTAGTGTCAATTACCACAGAGTAAATTGGAGTTCTTTTGTGTTGGTGAGTAGATCTATGTGTGCTCGGTGTTCTACGTTCGTGAACTTCTGCTTATGCATGCCTCTCTTTCCCTGTGTGTTTGTGTGAGAGAGGGGTGGGGGGATGGGGGTGTCTCTCTCTCCCTAACCCCCCGCCGTCCGTGGCACCCATGTGATGACCGGGTCCCGTATTCCCGCTGCTCAAGTGTGTGTGTGTTAGTCTGCTTGAGTTTGTGTGTGTTTGTGGCCTATTTCTAGAATCGCCTGTGTTGGCTCTACACCGAAGCGTAGGCTAGCCTACGTCTCATTCAAAACACTCCATGTTGGTAGCTCTAGATGTTCGTCTAATGAAATTAGAGAACAAATTGACCCGCTTAAACTTGAGGAGTTCGAAAGGATAGCCAGGAAAGAAGATTCCATTTTACTGTGCAAAATCTTTCAAATGAGCTTGAATTTTATGCAAAATGATTTTGAACCTTCCTGATAAAAATGAGTTAAAAGATAGTTTTGAATACCATTGTGTGCAGGTAAAAAGAAGAATTTGAGTGCAAAACATATTAGGAAATTGACCTTGCTATTTTTATCCTTTCGAACCCTGGAATGTGTGTAACAACTCATTATGACTTATCAAATTATGAGAAGGGGTTAGATCAATAATTTTAAATTCATGTGTGCGTAACACATTATATTCATTATGAATAGAAAGCTATTTTTATAAAAGATAAAGCATTGGTTTCAGACTTGACACCTCTTCACTCGGTAGCAATTGACGCTACCTTTTATTATTGTGCTGTACTTTTCTGTGTGTCGCGGGTTAGTTATAACATCTTCCACCGAACTCCAGACTTTGCAATCTGCATGTGGACCTGATTGGGCGCCCAACCAGCCAAGGCATGAATTACCTTATTCACCATAATAATAGACCGTTTCACCAGATGGCCAGAAACCATCCCTCTATCAATACACAAACCACTGTACTGTAATTTTGTCATGACTAGGAGGTCTAATAATAGCGTCAAGTGATTAATGGGAGTCGACTCCTAATAATGCCAAATAATTATAAGGAGTCGACTCCCAATAATCACTTTTTTTTTCTGACTAGTAATTAAAATTAATTCTTTTTTAAATCTTTTTTTTCAGATCACCAGAGACAAGCTGGTTTCACATGTGCAGAAGATATGTCCTGGTGTGGAAGTCACAGACTGCAATCTCAAATACACTCGAGACGGTGTATTCAGGAAATTTGCCTTTGTTGGTTTCAACTCAAGCCAGGATGCTACAACTACATGCAGAAAGCTCAATGGGACATTTATCACAACAACAAAAATTCAGGTTTGGTGGACCTGATGCCATATTGATTGGAGTTTAAAGCATGTCTTCTTTCCTTACTTTTTCAATTCTCTTTTCTCTTCTTATAGTTAAAGCAAAGCATTAATAATTATTTTTTGTGCATCTTGAAAGCAAAAAAAAAAAACCCTCAAATTTTATTTTCCTCCGTCTTTTCTTGTCTTGTTTGTTCTAACTTTGACCGCATCCCAAACTAAGAACCTGATACTGATATTATTTGTCTTGTTCACAGTTTTATAAACACAGCATTTTCATCAAGTTTTTAAATTTAAAAATATTTTTTTTTGCCAGTTTACCAGTATAGAGTAGCATTGACGCCTCAAGGTGAACGAACAATATGAGAGAAGTTAATATGGCAGCTTAAATTAAAATTTGATGCTAGAGTCTTGTACCACTTTTGAACATACACTGGGTTCCTGAAAAAATCATCACAAGGATTCCTAATCAAAAATAATGTTTAGAGAAAAAAAATTATGTGGAGCTATGAAACTGGTTTTTGTGTATGATTTTTATGGAGTGATTTTTAAAGAAATTTTTAAATTCCAGACTGATATGGCGGCTGATGTCGGAGATGGTTCGATCAAAGCATGGAGCAAATATTCTGCAAGAGCAAAAATGAAAGAGTTGGCCGAAGGTGGAAAAAAGAAAAACAATGATGCTGAAGCTGATGGAGAGACAGAGATGACCAAGCCACAGGTGTGTGTGTGTGTGAGAGATGCATAGCTGAACAGTGTGTTTAGATGGTGTATTCATTTCTGTCTTTAACTGGTTCAGGACTTAGAGTGTTCCTTTATTTTTGAGAGCATTTGACTGAAAAAAAGTATGTTGGGTGTAAGGAAATGGTACAAGAAGTGTTTTTAAAGTCTAGCATACTAATGATTTTGCCCCTAATTTTTGCTCTCTGATTGATTAAATACTTTGAAGTGTTACATGTTTTGTGCATTTTTTAAGTACATTTCTTTTCTCTAAATTTTGAGTGCCAATGGATATGATTTATAAATTACTTTTTTTCTCACTTTTGATACTGTATTTTTATTATGCAGAGATGTTTGACTGAGCGAGGTGAGTATTATGCTTAAATGGGGCTAATTAATGCTGGGTAAATTTATATGAAGAGTTTGTCTTTGCTGTTTCCAGATAAGAAAGATTGAAAGAGACGATGTTCTCGTGTATTTTTGTTCCAAAAGTTGGTGTTAGGTGGAACACTACTGAAATTTTTTAATACTTTTTTTTCCAAAGGATGTTGAGGAAAAAGAAGAAGCGAAGCCAGGGAGGACTGGATTTGTGATCAAGATGAAAGGCTTCTCTGGATTTTACTCTGAGGTGAGAACTTTGCGTAACAGCGCTGCGGATTCAGGCTCAAGTCCAGAATCTAGATGTTGGCAATTGAAGGGGTGGGGGGGGGGGGGGGGGGGGTTCATCTGGTTTCGGAGGCAAAATTAGCGAGCAAATGGCTGCCAAAATTTAGTTATTTTCTTAGCTTGAGAGTCCATGGAAACTGCAAATTTACATTTTTTGTGCCTTTAATCAATGTTTTTCTGTAAAATCCCCATAGATGTGTTCTCTCATGGACATGAAAGGTGCTGAGCCAAAAATAAAAAAATTTGATAAAATTCATAATCCTGATTGAGAAAAAATGCCACTTTCTTCACGTTCTTCATTTTGACGAGCGCCTGATTTCACTACGCTACCTCACGCTTGTGTTCTTGCACTATTTGTTTACTCTTTGGCCAGGTATTGCAATCTCTATTCAAAGGTTCTGTTGAGGGTATAGTCATATGTTCAGGCAAAATATTTAGATTGTAGAATATTACAAATTTGAATGGCCCTGCAAAGTCAAGTCTGTTGATATATATATTACCTTGGTTGGTATGAACATTTTCACATTTTCAATGAGAGAAACAACTGTAATGACAGATATAAAAATTCATTGCTCCATTTTGCTTAAAGAGTTACATTTTGCTTAAATAGTTACATTTTTCCTCTTCTCTTCAGAATTTGGTCCTCGGTTAGGCTGGCAGCAGGAGAGGATGCCTCTGCTGTTGAGATTTTTGTTGATTAAAATAAATGCAAAGAATATTGTCAAAAGTTTTTCTCATGAGTATTTATTTGAAAATGATTAAGGGGTACTTTAAACTTATTGACCTTTGCCAGACATCATCAATATTTTTTCTTTGCTTTTGCAAAGTCAGCTTTCTATATTTCTTGTGTAAAATGAGATTAAGGATAGACATAGATGATGCTGCAATGTTGTTATGAGGTAGTATCACGGTAATTGTGTTCTTCTTTGTCTGTACTCGCAGAAAACAGTCAAGGAGTTTTTCAAGCCCATTAAGCCTCTCAAGATTCGCATCCCCAGAAATGCTCAGAAGAAGCCCATGGGTAGGTCAATTTGTCAGAATTTGGTTGATCCTCTTCTTATGTTAGTCAGGGAGATTCTCTGGACCTTCATCACCACTGCAGGCCTGTCTCACTGTGGTTTGATTGGTTTGTCTTGAAAGGTCTGGTGAAGTTAATGTCAGTACAATTGGGCACAGAAAACTCAAATGCCTTAGAGATTGACAAATTGGTTTGACTCATCCATAATTCAGGTAAATCAATATAATGAAGATGTAACTCAAACCTATGTAACGAAAATTAGGACAAATTGGGTACACTGCAAACACCTCGTTACTGTAGAATTACAAAGGTTTATTAAATCTTCTCAATACCTAGTTTTGAGAAATTTGAAGTTTCACCATATGGGAAAGCTTTTTCAAATGTAGTTCTTCGAATGTCTTGATAATGACTCCTTAATCTTACGATTTTGATAGGGCAGATCAACATTTTGTTTCTGACCTCGTGGTTTTAGTAGTTCAAAACTGCCAAAAATGTCTAATAAAACTTTTTAATTCTAAGGTAGCGACTGTCTTGTTTTTTTAGGCTGGACTGACATAACTGACATTGAAAGCAAAAGTATGGTCATAGATATGTAAACAGTCATGTAATATTGCCCTATATAAATTTATTATCTTCGTCTGATATAGGTGTGGCTTTTGTGGAGTTTTCGACTGAGAAAGATCTGGAGCAAGCTATGGGAAGAAACAAGAATTTCATCAGTGAGTTGTTGTGATGTGGATTACACATTTGTACTGGTTATGTGTTTTGTTTTGTATTCAGGCACACCGTTATTTTTGCTGTATAAGAATGGAAAGGAGAGGTCATGTGGAGAACGACGATGAAGACTAGCCAAATGCTCTGATACGCTCAGATTTGCTCTATATTTTTATTTCCTTTAAAAAGACTCAGATCTGTTTTGCATCAAAACTGATTTTCAAAACTATTGCTATACCATGGGATTGACCCTTAAACTACTAAAGGACATGAAAATACACTATTATGGTCTACCACACATGTATTGATTGTTTTCTGTACCTTGATCAGGGACTGTCTTATGCCGCCTCTTCATAATCCTCTGGTGAGCCAGGTCGGGAAGGGGTTAATTGCAATCAAATGAAAGTGCGTGTTGCTTCATGTTCTTTTTTTTTTCTTTCTCCTTATTTCTACTTGTAGTCGAGAAAGGATGTAACATTATATATATTATATTTTTATTTCTTTAGATGGTAAGAAGATTTTCCTGAAGAAATCAGCAGAAGAAGTTGTAGAGAAAAAAGCCTCAGCACCCCCAGTGTGGGAAGTGAAGGTGAGTAGAGAGATGTTTTCACAATATTTGTGCCGTTTTGTGCATGAGTATGGCAAAACAGAACAATAGTCAGTCCGTATCTCAGTCTTACTATTATTGTTACTGTTATTATGAGTATTATTAGTAGCATCTTATTGTGATTGTAATTATTATCATTATTATTCATTGTGGCAGACTTGGAATCGAGATGGTGTTAAGAACAGTATTCATCTATATTATTATTATCATTATTAACCCTCGTAGCGCTCCAGGCGACAAAATTCGCCTCCCCTCTCTCACTCCGCTGAGCGCGCGAGGCGACAATAATCGCCAACGGGCGGGCCAGCTCCCAAGCGCGCGAGGCAACTATTGTCGTTTTAGGGGAACACCTTATTTTTGGAGCAAATAGCGTCACCTTTAGATGCTATTATTAGTTCTGTAATGGAAAATTTTACTCTAGAATGGTTCAACCAATCAAAATCAAGGAAAAAATAACCCAGGGGTCAAGGCACTGCATGCCTTCGTGGGTTCTGTTAGGGATAGACTCTATATAATGTTTATTTAGGTCAATTGCCCAGTAGCGCTGAACAGTGAATGATTGGTTTAATTAACAGCTTTCCCTTTATTATTTTGAAAACCATACCTCTGGAAAGTGAAGTCTTTTCTGAATTTATAAATTGTCTAGGGTTTTGGTGAATGTATGCGTGCATACTGTCAAGATACAAAATGAAACAATAACATTCCCCGCGTGGGCCTCAAACAACCCGGCCAGCGCTCCGGGGCAGGTCACAAACGGTCAAGGCTAAGCGAGCCCGGCACGGAGTACGCTCAGCGCTTCCGGTAAGCGCTACGAGGGTTAATCTAGATTTCAAAATTATTTTTGTTTTTGTTTTCTATTTATGATTGTTATCATTAGTATCGTTGTTATTAACTAGGGTTGCAGAAATGTACCAGTGCTGAAGAATAATGAGGGAATGTTTGTCTTTGATGGTTTCGTGACTTTGATCCATTTTTATCTATTGTGAAATAATAAAGCTTGACGTTATTGATTGTGACTTTTAACCCTCTGAGGCCCTGTTCACCTTAGCTACAGTGTGTCAACTGCTTAATAACCACAAATATGTATGGAATGTATTTGTTCATCCATTGTGACAATTCCATCAATAAAAGCGAATTAATTGGTGTTAACTTTGTATGATGCTTTTTTTTTTTTTTTTCATATCGTTTCTAAAGGCTAAAGAATCCGAAGCTCAAGTTGAAAGCATTGGAGAGGTTTGTGTTTTGTCATTTAGTAAACAAAGATATACTGAAACTTTTATGACACAAATGGAACTAGCTCTGTTTTCATCAGAATTTGATTTTATACCCTTGAATTATCATGTGATTTTGAAGCATCAACTTTTTCTTTTTAATGATTATGATGAGCATATTTCAGGAGGAAGTTTTTAAGACTATTTTCTGTTATGATTTTGCTTAAACTGACTTTGTGATGCTGTTGTGTAAGCTTAATCAAATTTTTTTACAAGGCAATGTTCACTGCTCTGTTTTCTTACTGGATGTCCTGTACTCATAGTTATGGCAGCCTGGGAGAAACAGGGGTACATCCTACTTATCAATTCTGACACAGCATGCAAACAAATAATCTATTTATAAGTCTCATATCCATTCCTAGATAGAATTTTTAGTAAATGAACCATATTACTGCATGTCTCTTTATATTCTATAATTGTAATACTTTTGATAAGTAATTATAGTGATGGTGTGTTTCTGGGTTGTCTTGCTTTACATTGATGTTATGTTCTTTTCATCCAGTCTGGCCGTTTGTTTGTTCGGAACTTGTGGTTCGGTATGACTGAGGAGGAGCTAGAGAAGGTGTTTGGGAAGTTCGGTGAGTATCTTTCAGTGAAGATGTCATTGTTCTAGTCAGACATTTTTTGTATGGAAACGTTTGTCTTAAAAGCAGGTGTTGAATAAATACAAATAATGCATAATGTCTCTTGATAAGATTGAAGATTCCTGGGAGGTTTGAGAATAATTTCTGAATTTTAATTAATTCCTTACAAATATGAGTCTGAGGCTTTTCTCTGTCCCCATAGTTGCCTCTCATGCCGTTATTCTGCAAATATTATAGCATTTAATATGTTGCTTTGGCTGTCTTTTTGTTATTTATTGGAAATGGATCAAAAGAGTGCAGTGGTGACTTCTGAAATAGTAGCTATAGGTTTTCCAAGTTTCGAAACTTGACAAAATTAATGTTGGCTTACGACTTTGCCCTTTCAATTCACATGATACTTGCTGTTCTTCCCGTGTACCGCAGGTCCCCTGGCTGAAGTGGTGCTACCCGTCGACCCACTGACCAAGAAAGTCAAGGGCTTTGCCCATGTGGTGTTCGTGTTTCCCGAGCACGCGCTCAAAGCGTACACGGAGCTGGACTACACAAGTCTTCACGGACGTCTCATGCACATCTTGCCGGGGCGAGAGAATTCGTCAGAAGATGTCTCCAATGGTGAGAGAGGGGTGGATCTAAGTACTGTCACCTAAAAGATGTTTGTGTGGATGGTTGGCACATGCTCTGTTGTAGTTTGCTTTTTCTTCCCTTTCAAACATCTGTAGTCCTTGTCTCTCCTCCTTCTTTGATGTGTTTGTTACTATCTTGTAACACCTATAATCTTCAGCACTTTTATGACTTTATTGTATCAGAAGTGCTGTAAAACTCTTGCTAAAAAGGTTTTTTTAAGCTGGTCAAAATATATTTTATTTTGTTTTCATTTTGTAACTGATTCTTTTGGCAACTAACAACACAATGAACAACTCATTCATGAGGGCCTTCAATGAAATAGAAGGATGGAGAACTGTTAATGTCTATTTCAGACAAGACACTTGGTAATTATGATAACTTATAGTGCTGAAATTTAACTCAGGGACAATGATGCTTTGATATTTTTGAAAAATTGGAGGAGAAAAAGAAACTAGAAACAACCCAGAACTGTCGGGCAAACCATGACTTTAGTCTGCTGATCTTTTCAACAAAACCCCAGGACATAAAGAATGATACAATGCACTCTCTGATATTTGCAGAGGTTTCTCAAATTAGTGAGAAAAAAAATTGTTCCTGTTAGAGATGTTCTCATAGTTCAGAGTAAAGTAGTAAACTGTTAGTAAGGTATAAAATAAGAAATTAAATGTTTTCTTTGAACAGAAAAAAACCCTGTAACCTGGCATTAAGCAGTTTGCCTCCAAAAATGATCCAAACTGAAACAGTGGGAGGGTGGGTGGGATGTTAGTGACATAAGTTGATAAAATTTGCGGATGATTCAACCATAATTGGGCTAATTCAGGCTGGCCATAACGAAACCGCTTACCGGAATATTGTACTGAACTTTTCTGAATGGTGTGAAAATCATAAGCTGCTTTTAAATGTGAAAAAAACCCAAAGAACTTGTTGATTTTATAAAAAAAAGTATCTCCCCCTGCAGCCACTCGAAATTAAATGTGAAAACATCGAGCAATTGTAAAACATAGATGTCCATATTCTATCATTCAACCGTAGAAAGTGTGATCAATTTTTGTTTAAACAGCATGGAGCGGGGAACACAAGACAACAAGATAATGAAAAATTAAATCGACTAATACGGAAAGCATGTACAATTTCAACATCTACATTCCCTACTTGGATGAATTGTACATAACAGCTTGCTCTGAAAAAATTAATTCCATCTTCTTAGACAACAAACATCCACTGTTCCCTCAAATAAAAACATCAGTCAGAAGTAAAAGACCAAGGCTTCTGATCTGTAACAAAGAAAGATACAGAAGGTAATTTTTACCATCATCCATCAAAATTCTTCCCTCTTAACCCTCTTGTATAAGTATTCATATATGACCTTAGAGCATGCATCAGAATAACATTGAGTATGTATATAGGTTAAGATTATTATTGTTTATATTGCTGCTCATTTATATTATGCCTGTGATTGTAAGCCTGCGTGTGTGTGTGTGTGTTTGTGTACTCGTGGTGAGGTGATACACCAAACCAATGTGCCAGGATCTGGACAATAAAGATGTATCTTATAGGTTAGCCCCTTTTTATGTTTTCGTGCATTCTATTCTTTTATTCTGTAAGTTGTATTTGGTTACTGAAAGTTAATGAATGAATGTCATATTCAGATTTATGGTGATGTTTCATACTGTTTTCTGTTTTATCATTTGCAGAACAGTCATCTTACAAGAAAAAGAAAGACTTGCAGCAGAAAGCGAACAGCTCAAAGTAATTACCACTCTGTAGTTCTGTAAAATGGGGTTGAAGTGCAAGTGTGGGCTGTAAGCTCAGCTGATGTCATGCTAGACTACTACAGCCCCAGTTTGAATTCTCAGCAGAGTATTGCTGAACTTTAACTTTGGTTGACTTTACTGTTTTGTTTTACTTATATATCTATTATAGTCTATTGTACAGGTTTGTTTAATAATTCAATGTAGAGAAATGATTTTGCAGAACAAAAGGGAAGCTGTGAAAAAAAAAGGCACTATTTCATAACAATGTGTATAAATTTTAGGTTTTAGTACTAAAAAAGGTGAACAATGCCACAAGTAAAGCGTTATTTTAATAGGAAAATATCAGTTTGGATAATTATTGCTGAGCTTTTATCCCTACTTGGGTATCAGCCCACTAAAAGTGAATATCACTGTTTAAAACTTGAGAACAAGGAAGAAGAAGAAGGACTGTTTGAAAAAATTGGTGGGTGGTTGGCGGGTGCTTTGGTGTTGTTTGCTTTGCCTTTCCTATCAAACATCTGTCATCCTAATCTCCCCTTCTTCTTTTTTGTGTTTGTTACTCTCAAGTAACCTCTCTAATTTTCTCGACACTTATATGACCTTATTATGTTGCCAGTGCAGTAAAGCTCTTACTGACATGATCTAATAAATTGCACTTGTGTGACCTTATTGTGTTGCAAGTGTCGTAAAACTCTTTACTTACTAATACTAAATCTCAGGCACTCTTATGACTTGTTTGTGTTACAAGTGGCGCTAAACGTTTACTAAAACAAAACGATTGTTTCCCTGGATATCTTCCCCAGCTCCCACAACTGGAATGCTCTGTTCCTCGGGGCCAACGCTGTGGCCGACGCCATGGCCAAGAAGTATAACACAGACAAGAGCCGGATACTGGACAGTGTGAGTTTTGTGTGTGTGTGTTTGAGAGTGGGTGGAGTGGCGTTGACTTGTAGCAGATTATGTTGATTTACGGACACCAAGGTTAGTAGGTTAGTTTGATAGGTTTGAGGGGGGGGGGGTGGCTTGTAGCATTGTAGCAGTTGTTTGATTTACTGATATTGAGAGAGAAGGGGGGGGGGGACAGGCTTGTAACAGATTGTTTTTATTAATTGTCTCTTGTAGCAGATGAGTTTGATTTACAGACGAGTTTTTAGAACATTTTGTTATGTGTTGGATATTGTGTAAAAAGTATTGATTTTTTAAGTTCCACCTTTTGATCACTCACATTATCTCTCATCTTGCTTCCGTTCCCAGGTCTAAAATCAATAGGTTTTTTTTAAAAAATTAATTTATTTTTCCTTTCTATTCAGGATGCCAAGGGCAGTGTGGGAGTGCGTATGGCATTGGGAGAGACGCAGATTGTGGCTGAGACCAGAGACTTTCTACTCTCTCACGGAGTTGCCCTCGACAGTTTCGGTCAGGTATGGAATTTGAAATTAACTCATTCGCTACGCCGAGCCGTGGGGGCGGCGCGGCTAAAGTGCCGTCAGTACGCTAAGCCGCCCCTGGCGACTCGAGAACCGATCTTCAATTTTAGCTTAGATTCTATTCCAATCCACATGTCCATGTTGAAATAAAGGTTGTAATATAATGTTGACTTCCGGGTGAAGCATTTCCACTGAAAATCATAAATTTAGATTCAGTTTTGAAAAGCGGTTTCGTAGTTTATTTGACTTTGTTTTATCACGGTGCCAAAATTATAGCCCGGACACCAGTCTTAGTAATTTTACACAACAAAATCTATAATTATTTTGCCCACTTAAGAAATGTAGGACTCTTTTTTATAATATTGATACGATTAGACTCATATTGCCAATGCACTGTTATTGAGGAATCAATACTTTTGAGTGCTAGATCTAAATTGTCAAAATATTTTTTTCTCCCCAAAATCACTACTTTTTGATGAAATGACACAAAAGTGCCACTCAAGACATGTATAGGTTTATTCCAAATGCAATTTTGAATAATTCCATATTAGATACGAGTGGGTTTTTTCTGTTTGTGATCTCTTTTCAAGATTATAAAATGTTTTATTTTTTTTCAATATCGGATGTTATGATCCAAATGTACAAATATTATGGAATGTATGTAAATAACTGCAAACTTTTCAATATTTTCCAGTTCTATATTCATTTATGGTTATTTTGATGTATCATTTGACTAGGTGCAAACATATTTTTTGAGTTTCACCAAAGATTATTAATTTTTTATTTTCAAATTTTATCCGCATCCAATCAAAATTGTGTTGCATAATCGTCTCTTACAGGAACCAAAGTTGAAAAATACATAAATAAACATTACAGATGTATTCTACAAACCATACTGAAAATATTGGTGTATAATACGTTGGTATTTATTTGAATTTATGGTCTCAAAGACCTTATAACTGCCCACTTGTCATCTTCTCATTCGCCCTCCCGAAAAAAATTAGTCCACAAGCCGAAAATTATACGTAGCGAATAAGTTAAAAGTGACTTTTTTTTTCGAGTCTTTATAGTTCTTTCTTTATCCTCGCACTGAGTTTCTGTTATTTTGATGATGTTTTTCTCTGTACTCAGATAAGTCTTCAGAACAACTCCATTGCTCAGAATTTTCATTCTGATTTTTCTGTCTCAGTTCCTGTAGGAAATAGTGTGACTGTCTGTTAAAACTTTAAATGATTCCATTCCGTTATACAAAGATTTCAGTCTTATCCTATTGCCATGTGTCTCTTTACAGCTGGGTGTATTGAGAAAGTAGAGATAAAAAGGAACTTTTTCCACTTTAAAAAACCCGATATACATCTCACTCAGCATTTTTGTAAGGTGGCATCCATTATACATAAATTTTAAAAATAAGTTCCACTGTATTGATCCTTTTGGGAAATGTTCAAACATTTAAAATGGCGGACATAACTATACCCTGCTTTCTCTTCACACATTTAGGCGGCAGGGGAAAGAAGTAAGACGGTGATCCTGGTTAAGAACTTGCCAACTGGAGTGACGAGCGATGAACTACGCGAGATCTTTTCCCGCCACGGGTCGGTGGCGCGCGTTGTCATGCCGCCAACAGGAATCACGGCGGTTGTGGAGTATCTGGAACCTTCCGAGGCCAGGCAAGGCTTTCTGAAACTCAATTTTTCAAAGGTAAGAGCAAGGCTTATGATGTGGGCTTTACTCCCTTTTTAAGACTGATAAATTTTTTGAGGGGTGTACACACCAAGCTCTTAGGCTATGAAGGGAGAGGTAGACCATGCAAAAGATGGGTTGAGGGAGTCAAGGAAACCCTGAGAAATTATAATATCCCAATCGAAAGAGCGACGGAGCTGGCCTACAATAGAAAACTGCATCTCCCCTCGATGCTTAAAGACGACAGAGGATGAAAAAGCGAAGTAAAGATAGATGAGATAAGATAAAGATACTTCTTAACTGTCCAGATCCAGGCACATTGGTTTGGTGTTTCACCACGTTCATACACACACACACACACACACACGCAAACGTGCACACATAAACACGTGCATGTGCACCCCCATATACACACACACACTCTTTCTCACATCCTCTCCTCCACACACAAGTGCCTAAATTGTGTATTTTTGCGAGCTGCTTTCAACGTTTAGAATTTGAATTTCTACTAAAGTATTTAATGGCAACATGTTACCAATGTCAAAGATTGAGAAACTGCAATAGAAGAATAAGTAAGCATTTTTGGCTAAGTACATTTTAGCAGCTGGCCGATAATTAGATGTCTTCCTGGAGTGTTGGGGCAGAGACATGAGTGATGAACCATGATTGCAGACATCGGTTTCAGATCCTGCACTTGAAGAAGTAGAAGAATCATCTCCTAGTACAAAGTAAAATGTGCCTTTGAAATTAAAATATTAATTATGAATCTCTACTGTTCCAGTTCCGATCCATCCCACTATACTTAGAGTGGGCCCCCATGGGTGTCTTCAGTACGCCCGCACCTAGCCCTGTGACGAAAGTGGAGAAGAAAGAAGAGAAGGAGGAGGATATGGATGCAAAAGAAGGAGACGAAGATGACAAAGATGACAACAATAATGATGGTGATGATGGTGGTAACGATGATGGTCAAATGAAAACAGAACAGGTTTGTGAATTTCGATGGTGGACATTGAAATATTCTATCGTTTTGATGGGTTTTACTGAAGAAAAATGTTTTTGGTTCAATGTGCACTATTTCTTTATGATAATTAAGAAAAATTTAATTGCATTTTCCGGCGCATATCCAGGCTCTACAGCATGCTCTAGGTGTTTTACAACCATTAGTACCCCGTCAGGCCCAAGGACACTCAGAAATATTCTTGACTTCCTGCTTTTACATTGGTAATTTGTGTTTGAATGAAGTGTTTTGATGGTTAGTTTAAGATTTATTGTGGAAGCCGCACAGTTTTTTCTTATATGAGCCTTATGTTGAGACTGGACATTTTTCTTATTTAGCATGGCGTGAAGTGAAGGCTGAGTAGTCTCTGTCTTTGTTTTAGTAAGACTTTTGTGGCACCTGCAACACAGTTAGGTCATATAAGTCCCAACAATTAAAGGTGTTTCAAGAGAGTAACAAAACATAAAAGAAAGAAATAATGAGGATTGATTTTTGATAGGAAAGAAGGAGAGAACCGCACCATAGCACCACCAGCCACCCACACTTTCTGTGTAGCGACTTGCCCATCATGCCAAATTGATATTGCTGGACTCTGACCCCAGCTGATCTGTTTCCGTCCCCAGGATGAAAGCACAGAGCCTGAGCCTGAGGAAGGCTCAACCATCTTCGTCAAGAACTTGAACTTTGCAACAACAGATGAGCAGTTACGCCAGGTAAGCAGAATAACCTGCACTCAGGTTTGCATAATAATAGCTCATCCGTTAATATCTGACAATGACCAATACATCTGCAGAGAAAAATATTTCTCCAGCAAAATAAAAGAATTAGGAGAACTAAGGGTTAAGATGACTTGTGGTTTCTGTGGCCTATGAGATTGATTCTGGCAGAGAAAAGTTTGCCAAAGGTTTGCATTTGTGTCTTATTTTGTCATACTTTTTTCAAATAATGAAAGCACTATCTATTGGGACATGACTTCAGCACATTTGGTTCTGTGCTAAACACACACTGTGGAATATGTTCTGTGTAAAACCAGTGATGGCATTTCTTTTTTTTTTTCAATTTGTTTGGGTGACTCCAAAGTTTTTTTCTTTTTTGTCCACCCACTTGGCTTGTTTTTGCTCAGGTGGACACCCAGGCATACTGACTGTCCGGAATTTCGTGGGACTGTCCGGAATTTCGTGGGACTGTCCGGAATTTCGTGGGACTGTCCGGAATTTCGTGGGACTGTCCGGAATTTCGTGGGACTGTCCGTCCTGAATTTGGCAGTCACAAATTTGAGAGAACATTTTAGCCCACACTGCTACACCAAAACTAATCCCTTTTGATGTAAATTTGTTTGTTATTACGAATATTAGACTGACCAGGAATCAGTTACTGATGGAGACCATCAGTATCAATACATACCTTAAGATTGAGCCTGCTGAGGAGGGATGAGGAATTATAGATAGAATATGTGTCTGTGAAGAACCCAGTTCTGGAAAAGTATGTGAGACATGGTGACAAAATGAGTTACTTCTCGCAATCCAAGAATGGAGATGTTGGCCGAAAATAAACACAGTTGTCAAATTTGTTATCTTTCAACTGATGCCATTTTCTTCAAGTTAAATATGTCTTTTATCATTTCATACTAATAAATTGTATAAAGTCAGCAACATATAAATTTGACATAGCTATTTCCATAGAGCCAAAATCGGAGAAGTGACTCATTTTGTCACCATGCCTCTCATATAAGCGAGACCAATGTTACTTAATGTAATGTCATAATGATTAATGGCATTTATATAGCACAAATCCCCTTTCAACAGCGAGCTCTATGCGCTACACAATCTATACTATTACCCCAGCAGACCTGAGAGCATTCTGAAACAACCTCAACTTCTTGGGAAGCATACAGTGCAAGCAGCCATTTTTAGGCGCTAAATCATTAGCATACTGACACAGTCTTTCTCTAGGTACCCATTCCCACCTGGGTGAAGTGAGGAGAATTTGTGTAAAGTGCCTTTCTCAAGGACAACATCAGGCCCGCAGCTCAAACCCTCGAACCCGCAAACTCACGATTATGAGTTCGGTAGCCCAACCTCTAGGCCGCCGACACCACTTTGGGTGTCTCAAATTGGGTATTGAAGAAGTTGGCAAACATGAACACCATAGGCCACACACTGTATCTCTTTGTCTCTTCTTGTCTCCCCAGCATTTCTGCGACGTTGGAACTGTTCAGTCTGCGACTGTTGCAAAGAAGAAAGATCCAAAGAAACCCGGTGAGAATTTTGTACCTTTTTAAAAAAATGCTTTGGTTCAAATTATATTACAGTTGAACCTGCCCTGACGGCCACCTCTATAAGACGGTCACCTGTACCAACGGCCATTTTCCATTTCCCCATTTGCGTTTTTTCTATATAATTTAAATGTGTATAATGGGCACCTGTCCAACGCGGCCGCGGCCACCTTATTTCAACACACAACCCCTTTCACACTAAACAATAACACCTGTCTTAGACGGCCACCTTAGTGACTCCATTACGCTTTGTCGTAAATCAAGCATTGGCCCCTAGCGTTGTGGTCGAGCCATCATAATCTAAAAACCTGTCGTTGTTAGGTAGTCCCTCCAACTGATCATGTTGCGTAGGCCCCTACCACTGTTGACCAATAGGTAACAAAGTTAATTTTCAGCTGCTGGTAAGGTATCCCTCATAACCTTTAAGCCCCGCCCAGAACCCATACACAAATCTTAAATGCGATGAGTGGTCACTGTTTACCCAGTCTGTAACAAAGTAACAATGGACGTCAACATGAACTTGTGACAGAAGGCGTCGCTCGTTCTCCGAGTGGTAGCGACACGTGCGTTTGTTTTACCATAGCACTTGGTCCCCTTTGTCTGACACATTTCGTTTTATTGTCACCCGTGCACAAAAGCAGCAACAAAGGGGAAAAACCCCAGCGAAAACAACAACAACAAAAATAACAACAACAAAGCAACTACCTTCGGTTGGGACCTCAGAAAGGAAGGGTTTGTTTTCTCAGAAAGGAATGGTTTATTTTCTTCCCCTTGATCAGTCCTGCCTAAGACGGCCACCTGTCTTATACGGCCACTTTTCTCCTTGACAATGGGTGGCCGTCTTACACAGGTTCGACTGTATATATCTTTTTTCTTTCATTGCATTCTTTTTCCGTCCCTGGTTTCACACTTTCTTACCAGGAAGGGTATTCTGTGAATGATGGGCATATTTTTATGTCCAAATATCTTTTTCCCAAAATTTCTAGAATGTTCTGAAGGTATATGTTTCTTATCTCGTCGCCCGAGTGCAACCCTGTTTCCCACAAATACAAAATTTTACAGGAGAACGAAAAAACTTTGTCTATTCATCTAAAAATGTTTGTTAGAAATTAAAGTTGGAATGTTGCACTGGTGATGCTTGTTGAGCTACATGTCTAGAAATTTGACACAAAATCCGCAATGTAACATTTAGTTGAAAAAAGAAAAAAAAAGTGTTTTTTGACATATCACTGCGGGTTACTTAGGCGACGATCTGTGTGTTATGTATCAATCTGTATATATATTTAGACCTGCATGTTTGCCGACAATCGTCTGAAATCCGGCAATCGCGACGCGACCCGCGAGGCGGCCGATGCTATCGCTAGGCCCACCCGTATCAGTCACAGTCAATGACAATGTGCGTAGTGCGAGACCTGGCCGACTGCCAGCGCCCCCCTTTTTCTCCCGTCGGCTTTGTCGGCACGTTCGATTTCGTGCCGACCACCGACTGCCGACGTCGGCGTTTCCGACATAATTGTCGGAACCTGAGTAGAAATGCGAATACGAAAAAGGACGACGACCTAAATGATCTACTTTCAGTTTCGTGCTCGAGCGGCCATTTTGAATTTCGTTTTGTTGACAAATTCAATTGTTCAGATCATGTGGATTCATTCCAGTCCGACTCACTTAGGCTAGAAATTCTAGATCTAGAATTATATACTCTAGATCATTATAGACCTCAATGGAGGATTCATATTCCAATTCTATTTTGTCAAACCCTATCATAGGCTGTGCTGTAATATTAATGTTGGTAAAAGGCATTTCATCAGGTGCGTGAATTATTTATTTATTTAGAATTTAGACCAAGTCTAGACTCAGCTGAGGCCCTCTGTTCGGAATCGGAATCGGATTTCTAGTTCAAGGCCTATTCCTAGATCCTATTCACTTGTTCTACAAGATCTAGATCTAGATCTAGATTTATTTAGTTTACTAGTTCTATATGGAGGATTCATATTCCAATTCTAGAATCTATTGTGTTATTGCATCAAACCCTATTATTATAGATCTAGCAATACGTAGATGTAGGCCATTATGCTCCTTGTAAGCCTTGTTTGTTTTGGGGTGTGGTTTTTTCATTTTTTAAATGTTTTTCATTTTGGACTTTTGCTGGCCTTTTCACATGAGGCTCGTTGCAGGTTCTTTGTTGGGGTAGGGGTAGGGGTAGGTCTCTTCTTTGTTGTGTTTGTTGGGGTGGTCGCTCGTTACTCGGAAGTCCTTCCTTATGACACCCACAAAAGCTCTTTGGGGGGGGGGGGGGTGCACAAAATTTTCAGACAATCTGGTTGAGGCTCACATGCAGGTCTAAATATATATATATATATATGTGATTTTCACATTCCATTATGGTTGCACCCCTACACAGTTCTGGTTATTTTCCATCATTTGGGAAGCACCCTCACTTTTTTCAACATTTATTTCGTCCCATGATTTTATGTTTGTGTTTGATGTAGTTTTTCATTTGAATGAATAGTGGGTATTCTTCTGTGATCGACTGGCCTTGTTTAGTGGATGTTATTTTTATTACCATTACTTTTATTTTTATTGATAATTAATGTTATTCTTATTATTCATATTATTGTTATTATTATTATTATTGTCATTATAATCATCAATATTATTCTGCCATTGTCATTATGATTGTTTTTATAATGGCCATTTTTAGTGTTATAATATTATTTTTGTTCTTGTCGTTATTATTATAATGAGCGAGACTGTGTTTGTTTCCCCGCAGGTGAGCTACTGTCCATGGGCTATGGCTTTGTTCAGTTCATGAAGAAGGCTGAGGCAATGGAAGCCCTGAAGATGTTGCAGAACTCAGATCTGGAAGGACATAAGCTGGAGCTGAAACTGTCCACCCGACCTGCCTCGTGAGTCGCATTCCGCAATATCTTGTCTTGTGTTTGATGTCGGTTTGTTTTAGTGGGTCCATGTTGTTGGGTGCCCAAGTCTGGTTTGCTCCTTCTTTCCTGAAAAAAATCTACCGTCCTGCTCTCTCATCCTTCTTTTATTTGTATAGTACTATATAGTACCACCTCTAATCTCCGGCACTTATATGACCTTATTGGTTGCAAGTGTCGTAAAACTTTTATTAAAAACTGGTTTGTTTTGCTTCTTGGTTGGTGAGTTCTTTTAGATCCATTTTACTTGGTAACTTCTGTCTGATAAAAACAAAATCTACTCATTGAGAAATGTTGCGGTTCTCAACTGCCATTTGAATCTTTTGTTTTTGCTTTGTTGTCCTTTCTGACTATTCCCATTTTTTCTGTTTGGTTCCCAGGCCGTGTCAGACTCTTTACTTTCCCGTATTTCCTCTTCTTTCCGTTCCATCTTTCTTGCTGTTCTTTATTTTGCCATCCTCTTTTTCCACTTGGGAGGCATCCTCTCTTTTTTCTTCATTTATTATCCCTGTCTATTGCCCCTTTACTTTCTTTTCCTTAATTTCTTTCCTTTTCTTTCCATTCCATTCTTCCTTCCTTGTCTTTCTTTCCTTTCCCATCCTTCTTTATCGTTCCTTCTTCTCTTTTCCTTCTTTGTCTGTTTTTCCTTTTCTTGTCCTTTCGTCATCTCACCACCCTGTCCTGTCTCCTCAGCCAAGTGCGGGGCCGACAGAAGCAAGTCGCGACTAAACAGACGTCGTCCAAGATTCTGGTGAGGAACATCCCCTTTGAGGCCAACAAGAAAGAGATAGAGGAACTCTTCAAGTAAGTCTGGAGGGAGATCATATTCATGTGATTTTACTTTTCCGTTACAGCGGTCATCTGAGCCCTAGCCATTTGGCCTGATATTCGTGTGACAGACACTGGTACATTACTGTAATATAGAATTATAATTGTGCTGGTTTTATACCTCCTTTTCATACAGTTTAGGTCTTTCAGGAAGAACTCTTCTTTTAAGTTGGGTGGAGGTCGTATTCATGTGACTTTACTGTAGTTTTCCGTTCCAGCAGCCATCGGAGTCCCAACCCCTTTGGCTTGATATTCATATAATAAACACTGGTTCATTGCTGTAATATAGAATTGTAATTTTACTGGTTGTACTCCTCCTTTAACACAATTTAGATAATTTAGGTGGAACTCTTCAAGAAAGTCAGTTTGAGGTCTTATGCGTTTGACCAACACTGGTTCATTTCTGTTAAATAGATTTGTAGTCGTAATAATAATAATAAATGTAATTATATTGCGTTCGTCCACGCTGTAGAATATGCTCTATGCACTGTACAACTCATTACCCCAGCAGACCCTAGAACACTCAGAAACATTCTCAGCTTCCTCGGAAGCATACATTTTTACCGGTTTTACACCTCCTTTGACACAGTTTAGATCTTTCAGGAGACAAGGTGTTGTGACTGTCTGTCAGGGCAAACCCAAGCTGAGAGGGATAAAAGGTCCCAATAGACTTGACACTTTACCATCATATTTTGGGGAAAATTTTTAAAAAAACTGGAATGTAAGCATCGCCAAGGCGAGATGAAGCGGCAAAGTGTTAAGAAGAAACAGTTGAAATTGTCTGAGGCGGCCACCCGGTGTCAAGGAGAAAAGTGGTTGTCTTAGACTGGTGAATGTCTTACACGCTGTCATAATAATGTTATAAAACATGCAAGGGAAAAAATGGGAAGTGGCTGTTTGTACTGGTTGATTGTCTTATACAAGTGGCCATTAGAGCTGGCTCGACTGTATATATGCAAATAATATAGATGCTATATATTAATGCTTCATGTCGAATTGTGTGCGGCAAATTTCTTCACAGGGATCTATAAAAAATGTAGTTTATTTATTTATTGATGTTTATACATATAAATATATACAATTTTATTTTCTCCATGTCCTCAGGGTGTTTGGAGAGCTGAAGTTTGTCCGGCTGCCCAAGAAGCTGCGAGGGACAGGGCCGCACCGAGGGTTTGCCTTTGTGGACTTTCTCACTAAGGAGGACGCCAAGGTAGCTTGTTTGTCTCCAGCATTGCCCTTAGTCTCGTTACTCTTTGTTTTTGAAGATGGGTCTGAATTTGATACCGGTTGTGTTGGGTACAGACAAAAGTTTATATATTATTTTTTTAAATGAGATAACTAAGTGATTTTTTTAAAAAGGCAAATTGATATAGGCCTAATATGAATGGTTCTTTGCAACTAAACTACTCAAAGGTGATAGATATAGACAGAACTGTTTTTGGCACTAGCAGCAGTAATTTCTTTTTTCTTTCTTCAGTTACACCATGGATTTGCTTTGAGTCAAAGTCACTTATATTAGTACTCATCTGTGTATTAGAACTTTTTAGTGCTCGTTTGTGTATTAGGACTCACTAGTGCCTATCAAATGAGGTAGCGCTTGATGAAGCCCTCGTGGGAGGCTCAATGTTTAAAAAATCAGGAAATGACAAATGCAGTTTTTGGGACCCATAAATAGACATAAGGGTCTTGAACATCTAGCTCTCACTGGCGAAATTGAGGGCAAGCGAGGGCCCAGAACAACATACTTGGGGAACCTAAACAAATGGGTAACTGGGAAAGATCAGGGAAACATGGCTTTTTTTTAGAGCATCCAAGCAAAGGAATGAATGGAGAACCATGGTCGTCGATATCTTGCGCAGATTTGGCACTGGATGATGATGAGTGCCCATCTGTGTAGTAGATCTTGTATATATGTGTATTGATGATCGTCTGTTTGTTAGTGCTTCATGTGTGTACTTTGTCTATATTTCTCTCCAGCGAGCGTTCAACGCACTGTGCCACTCCACTCACTTGTACGGCCGACGTCTGGTGCTGGAGTGGGCCGAGGCAGAGGAGAGCCTGGATGAGCTGAGGAGGAAGACCGCTCAACATTTCTCTGACGGTGAGTCGCTGAGTTAGGTGTCTGGCTGTGTATGGTAGATTGTGCATAGCTGCCGACTAGAGTACGTTTTGTCAAAATTTTCAGTTTGCTCTGTATGCTTCCCGGGAAGCCGAGAATGTTTCTGAGTGTTCTTACAGGGTCTGCTAGGGTAATAATAATGAAATTAAAGTTACTTCTGTGGTTTAGTGGGAAGTTTATCAATGTTTTTATAGCAGTGAATGAGAATATGGTGTGGAGAAGAAAGAAATATGAAAACTTTTTTTTTTCTTTTAACTATGTCTCATAATTTGGGGTGATGAAGCTACAGGTTTGATTTGTTTATATTCTTCAATTGTTTATTGGGGGGTTTTTTCTTTTAATTGCATGTGTTTACTATTTTAGCCTGTATGTAATTTACCCTTTTTTAAATGTTTATGCTTCTATGTGATCTGTTCATTTTACTTCGTAAGGTTCTTATCAGTATTTTTGTATTTCTTACCTGTTTTGTGCTAACTTGTAGTACACTTTTACTCCACAAATCATTCACTACAGTTCAACTCTCATGTTTCTTTCTTCATTTTTCGTTGTTTTTTCTTTCCACCTTTCAGATGGTCCAAAGAAGAAAGTGAGCAAGTCTAGCATTATGAAAGATCTTGAGTGACAGGTGCTGAGCTGAGAACTCAGGGGAGAAAAGAAACTGTTCTGAGCCTAGGGCTTTTCTGGGCGCAGTGTTTTCTGGACGCAGTGTTGTCTGTCGTGAACGTAAACGTCCATCTGTACTTGTATTTCTGGGAATGAGGCCATCTTCAAACAGGATGTGCTCAGATGTTGCTGTCATTGAATCTGACCAAATTCTGACTATTAAACATTGTTCTGACATATTATGTTATACTCCATCTCACTCGGTTTTTGTTTTCTTTGTAACTGTAACAAGTACTGCAGTTGTATGTTTACAGAGCAAGTGGTTGGAAGGCACCCTTGGTAGGTCTTACTTTTTTACTCTCCTTCTGTTGTTTCTCTCTATCTGTCTTACTTTCTCACCCCACACTAAATGACCATTATTGTGTCAATGTTCTTATCTCTACTCAAACAAACAAAAATAGAACTTGTTTGTGAAGCGAGTATGGATATTTAATGCCAGGTCACGTCCAGCAACACGCACACTCACACAAACACACACACTCTCACACACACACACACACACACACACACACACACACACACACACACACACAGTCTGATCTTGTTGTCAATTTTTGTTATGATTGAAACCGTGTCTGGTCTAGTCTCTTTGTTGGTGGTTGGCGGGTGCTCTGGTATGGTTTGTTCCTTCTTTCCTATAAAACATCTGTCAACCTTATCTCTTCTCCCTTTTTGTTTTTGCTATTCTCTTGTAACACCTGTAATCTTCAGCACTTATGAATGACGATGTGTTGCAAAATCTGTAAAACTCCTGCTAAACAGTCTCTTCACTTTTGATGTAAGATGTCAACAACTTTCAGTTTACATTTTTACCAGCCTCATTCTATTCAGCAACAGCTGCACCTGGTCAGAAAATTTGCAGGGTAGTTTGCAATATTTGTAGGCTATAGAAACTCATCTGATGTTTTGTTGATGTATACCAGTGCCTGTCTGTGGTAAGCGGGTGCTCTCATGTCATATTTTGTTTTGCACGCTCACATGACCTTATGCAGCTGCGAGCACCGCAAAACTCTACAAAACTAACTCTGATATCATTTATGTGTCTTCTTTTCTATCAAACACCTTTTGTCCACATCTGATCTTTTCTCCTTCTTTTATTTGTATATTGCTCTTTTTGCCTCTTAAAGAGGACAAAAGTGGGCTTTGATGTAAATTTTAAAAAATGTTTGTTCTATATACAGTATAACTTTACAAAGTGTTAGCCTTGCTAATAACTCACATTGACTTTGTTAAGGCTTTTGGGGAATATCATTTAGAATGGCACTGATGTACCTGGTTGGAGTTTTGTTCTGTCAGTTTGTTAGTGTTTGAGCACTGGATCAGCTGCCTGCACTGTATGCTTCCAGGGAAGCCAAGAATGTTTGAGAGTGTTCTTGGGTCTGCTGGGGTAATAATATAGTATAGTTTAAAGGAAGTACACAGAGTTTGTTGGCAGGCAGGGATATGCACTTACTTTACTTTACTTTACTTTACTTTTCCGATCCAGCGGCCATTTGGGTTCTAGCCCTTCGGTCTGAGGGATATGCACAAATACAGTACAAATGTTGTTTATTATTATAATTTTTATTCACTTTACCCTTGCACTTTGAGGCTTTGAGAGACTGCCTATCATGAGGCCGTGTTTAGACCTGAGAATTGATTAAATTACCGTGCTTTGTAGTGGGATTCCACACAGAATGCACCCATTGGAATGTTATATTGTGCATGTTGTTGTATTTATTGAGGAATTTCATATTACGTATGGATAAAGATGCTGGTGAGATTGTGTGTTCAAATCTTTTGTTTTAGTTCAAATCTATTGTTTTCGTTGTTAGATGAAGATATTTGAACAATAAGACAATAAACATTCAAGTATGTTATGAACATATAATTTTAGAATTTGTTGATTTCTAATGTTCATCTTCATCTTTTTTCCCGTTCTTCATTCCAACTCTCTCTCTCTCTCTCTCTCTCTCTCTCTCTCTCTCTCTCTCTCTCTCCCCCTCTCTCTCTCTCTCCCTCTCGTGGCGTTGGTAGTCTACTAGTTAGGCTACTTGACACATAATCATGAGATAGCGGGTTCAGGGGTCAGAGGCTCAAGTCGGTCCTATGTAGTGCCCTATACACAAAATTTAATTTTACCAAATTTTGCCTTGGTTTTATCGGAAATGGACATTAGACTTTAAATTCGGAGGTCCCGCTTCTTCGATAACATTATAGTGTTTCCATGGGGCGTTAAACTCATATTTAATCAAGCTCTCTCTCTCTCTCTCTCTACCTATCTATCTATCTCTCTCTCTCTCTTTCTCTCCACCTCTCTCTCACCACTTCTCTATCAGTCTCTCTTT